GGGGCGGCTGCGCGTCCTCAGCCTGCGCTCTGCGCTCGTTACGGCTCGGAGGACAGCCTTGGAGGCGGGACCGTCGCTTTCCCAGGGACGCCGGCGGCACCTTGACAGTCGGTCCTCTTACTACGGGAACGATTCTTGTGGTTCCGCTGACGCGATTCCCTCGTGAGTCCTCCGGTTGGTCTGTACCGTGGCCAGGTGGTGCAGGGCGGCTCGGGAAAACGCGAGGTTGTCAAGTACAGAGCCCATGCAGGTGTGGCTATTTAGATCCAAATTAAGCTTAAACAGACGCTGTCAGTTGCGCTGGCCATGTTTTAGGGTTGGCTTTATTGTTGTCGAGGTGTGTGTGTGTGTGTGTGTGAAGTAGAGATAACACTGCTGAACGCAGTTCTATCTCAGCTTCATTCTAAGGGGGCTGCAGGAACATGTTAGGCTAGTGCAACAAGGCTACTCAAAGGTTGAGCTGTCCAGTACAGGACTAAGGTGGACAGAGGTGTCCTTCTATCTACGGCAGGATTCGATTCTGAGGGAGAGGGGCTTTTTTTTCCCCCCAGGAGACTATTCAGGAGAGACACACATCTGTCTCCTGCTCTGATGATGGTGTGACTGCGCTGTTTCTTCAAGGGAGTGCTTAGCTGTCTGGGTCCAGTCTCCCCAGACGTAAATCAAGTGGCCCTGCCCTCCTTCCACGCGTGAGAGGCACAGCTCAGTGGTGAACAGGTCACAGGTGCAGCCTAAACACTGAAACATGGCTTCCTTTAGCAGTAGCCCCTCACGTCTTCATGTGCACTCTTAGCTGGCAAATCATGGAGACCCCATTTCAGACTCTGGAAGAACTCCAAGGCTCATGCTGTGACCCAGAGGCAAGGATGAGAGGGAGAAAGACTGAGCTTGGTGGAAAGCACTTGGCATTCCAACAGTCGGGAGACAAAGGCATCGGATGTTCACAGTCATCCTTGGCTCTATGTGGAGTGTGTGAGGCCAGCTTGGGTTACTGATATCTTGTTTGAAAAATAAAATAAAGAGTGAAGAGACCTGGCGTTAAGGTTACTGCCACTTTCTGCTGTCCAGTGGCCTGTCCACCAGACTATCCAAGAAGGCATTCTCAATCCTGATGGCTTGGGCTCCCTTTGTCCTTCTTGATGTAGATTGTAGGGTTCTCCCATCTTAGTCTCTCAAATTGGACCTCCAGGGATTGGGATTATATCTGTCTGGTTCTGGTGATACTCCATTCCGCAAACAGAAGGGGTGATGTGGGGGCAGCCTTGACCCAGCTATTCCACTTCTAAGAGTGAGGCTGGATGTGCCTCCACCCCGTAATTACATAAGGACCCAACACAGTTCTTTTGAGACCAAGTGGACATTTTGCATGGTGGAGTCGGGAGACTGCAAACTCCAAGCCCTCAAATGGTGTCCAGTTAAGAACCTGTCCCCATAACACTGATGAGCTACCTAGAGTGCCCCCTTGTGGTTTCAGTCAGAGTTCTACCCCCAAGCCCTAGAAGAAAAGTTTGGTGGGGGTGGGGTGGGGGAGGTGTCCTGTACTCCCTGGGGCAGAGGTTTGAAAGTGGAGCCAGGCCAAAACTACAGTTGACTAGCTCCCAGAACTGAGTTGGTGGAATAAAAAGCACCCGATACACTCCACAGATGTCCTTCCAGCTGACCTGGGCAGTATGTCTCTTGCATCTTTGTCACCTCTAGGTGACTTGACTCTAGTCATCAGGTTAGGAAGTATGCCCTGCCCTGCTGGGAGGGCAGTGGCCTCTTGGAAGGTGTTGTGAAGCAGGGGTTGTCTATGCACACTGGGGGTGGGGGGACCTGGGCCTGGAGCCTTGCTCTCTTCAAGTCACTGTAGCCTCAATGGCTAAGTGGGGACGGTAGCAGTGGTTCCTTTAAGGGATGAACATAAGGGACCTGGTGGAGGAAGCTCGGTGGTCAGATGAGCCAGCTTGTGCAGCAGTCCTGGGATGGACAATGCCAGCTGATCACATCTTTAGGACTAGATATTCCCTACAAAGTGTAGTGAGCACTTTGAACCAATGACCGCTGAAGGGCGTGCTCATTACAGTCAGAAACCAGAAGTGCGGGGGCAGGTGGGGAAGGCGGTGTTCACTAGCACCCCAGTACCTTGATCATGAACTGTGTGCCTCACGTCCCCTCAACTTTGGGTTCAGCTAAGTTAGACGGCTTCATTCTTCATTCTAAGGGAGAACCCTCCATCTGGGGACCCAAGTATGTCTCACTGCATAGAGGCAGACATGACCAAACCCTTTAGTCTCTTCAGGGGCAAAACGGGGAGCCAGACCATGACCTTCAAAAAGCTGATGCAAACGGCCTACTTGGGCCCCAGAGACCATAAGCAGGGAGAAGTAGAAAAGGGAAACCATAAATATCAACTCTGGGATTTTATTCACAGATTCATATTTGTTTGCAAATTTACCAGTGGCTACACATCTTTAATTCACACACCTAGTCCGGGTTTTTCTTTGCTCTTCCCTCACTACTTCTTTAAATTGTAACTAAGTTTCCAGGGCTCTTAAGGAAACAATGTCTAAGAGGCTGTGTCTGAAGTAGACCAGCAAGCAACACAAGGTGACAACTGACGGGCCTGCCTGCCAGCTGGGGAGGATGATACACAGTGTATAATGGCAGCTTGACAATTGATACAATGTAGGCATTGATACAGGTTAAGTAAGGGGGCGGGGGAGGTGGGCAGATGCCTTCCTTCCAGGGCACCGCAGCTGTAAGATTAAAGATGGTGGGCCCCGGACCTCCTGTTGGGAAACTCTAAGCTCCTGCCTAAGAAGGGACAAGAAAGAAGTTCAGAGGGAACGAAGAAGCTCTGCCTGCAAGGACAGGCATTCCCTTGGAGGAGGCAGCAAGCTAGGACTCTGGTCTGTCACTCCCTATCAACTGTCGTAGGCTCCCCAGACTCATCGATCCCTTACGCGAGTTCTCTACCTAAAACTTCGTTGGTTTGTATTTGACCCAAACCTGACAAATAAACGAAGCCCCCTTCTTCAGTAGACACTCCTGGACTGCCACCAAGAGGGGGCAAAACCCAAGGCCATTGCCTATTGAAAAGAGGAGGGAAGCAGTGTAGACACCTGGCCACCCAGCCACTGAAGGGGGCGGCTTACTCGGGATCAGCGGGTTCCCGGGGCAGGAGGGCCTGGGCCTGGAGGTTCTGTTCAAACTTCTGCAGCTGAGCCCAGAAACCCATATTGGGCTCGGCTACCGGGCGAGCGCTCTTCACCATCTGCAATCAAGAAAGCTAAGGTGAGCAAGACGGAGAATCCCCGGCGCAGAGGCTCCGCCCCGACGGTGAAGAGTGGGGGGTGGAAGGTGAGGGTGGGGTGGGGGGTGGGGGTGGGGGTAGGGCCCGCCCCGGCACACTCTCTCTCTCTCTCTCTCTCTCTCTCTCTCTCTCTCTCTCTCTCTCTCTCTCTCTCTCTCTCTCTCTCTCTGTGGGGCCCGCCCCGGAAGACCCGCCCCTGGACGCTGGCACCTGGAAGGCGCGCTCCAGGCTGTGGCCGCGGTGGCGCATGAGATAGGCGGTGCAGACGGCAGCCGAGCGGCTGCGGCCGTTCTTGCAGTACACGAGGCAGGCGCCGCCGTCGCGCACCGCAGCCTCCATGGCGGCACAGGTGGGCTCCAGGTGCGTCAGCAGGTCTTCCGCCGGGTCGTCGAACACGGGCACGCGCAGCTCGGCCACTCCGGGAGCGCGCGGCCCGGGCTGCTGGCGGGAGACGTTGACGCACAGAGTGATGCCCGCGCGCACCAGCAGCTCCGTCGCGCTCGCGGCTCGCGCGTTCCCGATGAAGAGCGCGGGGGCGACGCACGCGAACGGCGGCGGTGCGGTCTCAGAGGAACCCATGACCCCGGCAACCCGAGGGTCAGCCGAGGGCCGCGGCTTGCGGATTCCTTGCTGTGGCCGCTAGGAGGCGACCTCACCACGTCGTGGGGCGGAGCCTCTCCTGGCTTCGGCTAAATTGACAGTGGGCGGGGCCAGGAAGAGGTGGTGTGGATGTAAGGCCGGGCAACAGGTGACAGGCGTGTTTAGTAAGTGCTATGGGGCTGGCCCCGCCCAAGACAGCAGGCTACACATCAGTTGCAACTTTATTTCCTTTCGTTAAATGCTGTCTAGTACATTGCTCCGTGGCACCCCCAATTTTTCCTTTGTAAAACATGGTTCATATGCAATAAAACTACCACAATGAATTTGTGTCTTCCTAGACCAGATTTTTTTTTACTTAATCATAAATTGTTTGGATCGGTGCTGCGACTTCCCAAAGCTTATTTAGAATTATTTAGTGAGGCCGTGGAGATGGAGATGGCACAGGGGGTGAAGGTACCTGTTGCCGAGCTTGATCTGAGTTCTATTCCCGGGACTCACACAGTTGGAAGGAGAGAACCGACTCTTGCAAGTTTTTCTCTGCCCTGCACATGAGTGCTCTTGTATATACAAGCAATCACAAAATTGTTTTTAAAATTAGAAATAGAGGAACTTAGTGCCTATGAGAGCCATTTTTTTCTGATGTCCAGAATTTTAGAGGAATAATTTTCCTGTTCATAGCCATGAACAGATCATCTCAGCTTCAATTTTGTTACAGCAGTGAAACTTCTGGTTTCATTTCCATGCTTAACTTTTACACCCTGAAGTCAGTTTCCATTACTCCGTACACCCCGGTAATAACGTTTCTTCAAAAATCTTGGCAACAAGGAAAAAGATGGACCTACTCTCTCCCCTCCTGGTGACTCCCAGCTCACGACTGTAGCCTGGTTCTCCTCTTGTGCTAAATCCTCAAATATCTGCAGCCAGATCAGTGTCGCTGCCAGCCAGTGCAGAACAGGCCTTACCAGCAGCTGCCTCAGCTTTTTGACCCCCCAAGGAAGGAGCTGACTTGACTTTATTGGGACAGGAAAACAATGTATGGTCAGAAAACAGTTCTAACCTCAAAGGAAATGAGCTAAATATGAACAGCCATGGCTGGCAACAAGGACTCAAGTTGCCTCAGATAGCTTGTTCCAATGTAGAAAGTTTCACTAGTGTTTGTAGCTACAGAACAAAAGGAAGGCACTTCTCAAATACATTAGTGGAAACATCAGGTAAGTGGGTTAGAGAAAAATGGGGAGATCTGGTATAGGTTTCAGACACTCTCTGGGGACACTTCTTAGCTTTTGGGTTGGAGGCAGCTAGTCTATTAATACAGTCCAAACACTTTTACCTAATAGTCACAGACCGTTAGTGTATGAACCGAGGGCGTGCCTGCTCCAAGGTATGGTTAAGCAGAAGGTTTTAATTTTTATTTATTTGTTTTGGTTTTTTGAGACAGGGTTTCCTTGTGTAACCTTGGCTGTCCTGGAATTTGCTCTGTAGACAAGGTTGGCTTTGAAATCACAGATATCTACCTGTGCTGTGGGATAATGTTCCTGTACCCTGTAAAAAGTTGTCACTTAATATTGGTTCAATAAAATGCTGATTGGAGAATAGCCAGGCAGGAAATATAGGCAGGGTGACCAGACTAGGGGAATTCTGGGAAGAGGAAAGGCTCAATCTGCAGTTGTCAACCAGACGCAGAGGAAGCAAGATGAGAATGCTGCACTGAGAAAAGGAACCAAGTCACATGGCTAAACATAGACAAGAATTATGGGTTAATTTAAGTTGTAAGAGCTAGTTAATAAGTCTGAGCTAATAGGCCAAACAGTTTAATATAAGCCTCTGAGTGTTTCTTTGGGACTGAACGGCTGTGGGACCAGGTGGGACAGAAACTTCCGCCTACATGCCTGCCTGAGATTAAAGGCATATACCATCACTGCCCAGCTGAAGGTTTTATTGTAGATATGAGGGAGAGTACAGCCAGAGGCATCTGGAAGAATCCAGGACAAAGAAAGTAGTAGACAAAATATGGCCAGCAGGCTGGACTTGGCTATGAGAAGAAAGAAAGAGGGAGAGCAGGAGAGGAAAACAAAAGAAGAGGACCAAGAAAGGGGGAAAAGAGAGATCATAGCTGAAATAGCAGGGCTATAAGGACAATG